GGTTAGGGGGTAGTGAACTTGAAATATATGGACTCACTCAGAATACGGGTGGTCAATACATGATGGTATATCAATATGCTAATAGAGGAAATCTTTATGACTTTTTGACACGATATTTTAGAGAACTCACATGGCAAAAAAAATTAAATCTACTTGCGGACATATCTTATGATTTGTCTAGAATCCACGAAGCAGGACTTATTCATAATGACTTTCATAGCGGTAATATCTTACTAAATCAAAACATCGATGGGAATATAATTTCATACATTTCAGATTTAGGATTATCTAGAAAACAAGATGAACATGATTCAAAGGGGGGCATTTATGGAATAATGCCATATGTTGCACCAGAAATTCTTATGGGTCATCAACATACAAAAAAGTCTGATATTTATGGCTTAGGTATTATTATGACAGAAATATCGACTGGGAAAAGGCCTTATGAAACGCGTAAATTCGACACCGATCTTGCGATAGCAATTTGTAAAGGATTACGGCCAGAATTCGCCCCTGGGACACCTGAATGTTATGTTGAATTATCAAAGCAATGCATGGATCCTGATCCACAAAAACGGCCTACTGCTGAACTTGTTCGATCAAAAATCAGTGACTGGAAAGAAATTATAGAATCCGATGATTTAACAAATAAAGAAAAGTTTGATATAAAGAGTAAATTCATCAATGCAGACAGTATAATTAAAGAAATATCGCTAAAATCCTTATCTAAGCAATATTGCAGCATATTAATTGATGTGAAAGAAATAGTAAAAAGCCTTGAGGGTGTTATCGACACTGAAAATAGTTTGAAATTGTATAGTGGACTTGATAAATTTATAATACCCACTTCTTAAAATACAACGTAGATTATATCAACTAAAATTAGATTTTAAATTGAAATTAGTAGGAAAAGACGACTATCGCACAGTTTACAAAATTCTGAATCCTGTGGATCGTTGTAACGGCTCCGGGGTTTTCTTCCGACTGAATTTTCTTTTTATTTTCTTTTTATTTTGTTATATTCTCTTCCCATCTTTAAGAAACTTATGATTTCGCTAAATATATTTAAATATAAATAAATTAAAGAAAGATTATTATGTTATATAACGCCTATATAGTATGAATTAGAGTTAGATCAGCTCTGATACTATTATATCGGTCCAGCTAATAAAAATTTCTATTTTTGTAATGAAAAATTAAAAAGTTAATTCCGGCCGGAAATTTGTAGACAACTATGTAGTGCGGGCCAAAATTTTGAAGTTCCTCGACCGTTAGCCAATCAACATCGATGATCCGCCGCGCATTTTTTGTGCGGTACCTAGGTTCAATTTATTGAGCATTTTGTCTCGAATCGATCACGGGACATGTTAGTCGTATGATACATTAAGTTATTGATTTTGTGATTTATTGATTCGATAGATTTTTTGTAATTGGGTAAAATTCACCACCCAAATTTTTTTCAGTTTACATGATATGATCGCTCAAAGCGAAACGTAGCGGAGATGCTAATTTAAGTATTACTGTATTCATACATATTTAGAATAAATAATTTCACATGATCAGAAAAAAATTTGGGTCGTGAATTTTACCCAATTGATTTGATTTTTGTATGATTCCATGACGTAATTAGGTTATAATAGTACCAGTTTGGGTCTCAGGCTCATAGTGGCTGTTAATAGTAAGCTTACCCAGAAGAGAAATCAGCCTTCTCCTAGTGGCTCAAATTGTGATGCCAGGGTCTTCTGGAAACTTGAAGTCTTGCAAAAATGTTCAGTAGTGCCTGAGGGCAATATTAATAGATTGGTTCAGATTTCTCACTTATCATAATACTTTTTGATTTTTTCTACTTTCTTAATAAGAATACAGATGTTGATTCTAATACATTTTCTTTGCTACAATTATTATTAGATAATTTTAAAAACAAAACCTAAAACATTACATTAATATTAATACATGCTATATATAAAATTCAAGATTATTTATATTTATTACTTTTTTTACCTTCAACATTTAAGTTATTTGCTGCAAAAGAATTCAGAAAATGTTGAGTCAAATAGTTTTATTATAAAAATATATGGAGGTTGTGAAGTCTGAAAAAGGTGAAAAAGAAACTAGAATTACTGGAACAGGTTTTTTGTCTTTCTGTTGGTTTATCGTTTTTTTTTTCTTTTGTTACAGTTTGTAAAAACGATTTTTTAATGGTAACAATAAGCGATAAAAAGATAGCAATAATGAAAGTATTTGCTCAACCATTAATCGCGATTAATATTTCAATTGCTGCAATGCTTATAATGTGAGTCTACTGATCTTTAATAAAGATCTACATAACGGATGAGCATCATTACGATCATTAGCTAATTAATCACTTGAGATAAATCATTTCATTTGAACTTACTTATCAATAGTAGTAGATATTTGGCATTCTAGATAAATTTCAAAAGATGCTTTATGCTTAACTCTATCCATTTACAATAAGAATGGTCAGTTTACAAGTATCATTGTTATAAAGGATTTTAAATTTTTATAAATTCTTAAATTCATGACAAAAACAATAAAAAAGATTAATATCGTTTAAAATGTAATACAAACATAAATCATCAAATCAAAATACAAAGGGTTGGTTAATTAGAGAATATCCAGAAAACAAACAATAACAACCACCGAACAACCATATAATGGTTAACTAATAGCATTCGATTTTGAGTGTTTAGATGTAACGACAAAAATTGTAACTTTTTAATCATAAAATTCAAGATCAGGTGTAATAGGACCGGGAAATCTTTATTATGGTTAACGCCAAAATAATCACTTAGTGTTATTCCTATGAATCGGACTTTTTTATATTTATCCATATACAGTATATCGGATTCGGACATCTTAGCAATCAAATTCGGACAGAAATATCTCGCGATCTAGTGGACTTACATAGCGTCGCCAAAAAAAAATGGTAGCCGGATTTTTTACTGGCTTGCATATGACTTCGGATACTGATTGT